GCCAAAGCAAACAGGAGGTGCTGTCTTAGAAAGTTCGGTAAACAAAGAGAAGTTAAGTAATTTGCCCAAGGAGACACAGCTTGGAAATGGTTGGGCTGGGGTTCAAACCTCCATCTGCCTGACTCCAAAGCCTAGACAGTCTTCATTCTACCATGTTGTCTAGGGGTCAGTATTTCAGCTCAGAAGATACAAAGAGATGTTTTGGAAAGAAGTGCAAAATTGCAAAATTCCCCAAATGAGATTCTTTTTTTAAGATTTTATTTATTTATTTGACGGGGGGGGGCGCGGGGAGGGAGCGATATTGAGCACAAGCAGGGGGAGCGGCAGGCAGAGGGAGAAAGAGAAGCAGACTCCCCATTGAGCAGGGAGCCCGATGTGGGCCTTGATCCCAGGACCCTGGGATCATGATTTAAGGCGAAGGCAGACGTTTAACTGACTGAGGCACCCAGGCGCCCCATGAATCTTTTTTTTAAAATAAAGATTTTATTTATTTATTTGAAAGAGAAAGAGAGGGAGCACAAGGAGGGGGAGGGGCAGAGGGAGAGGGGCAAGTAGACTCCCTTCTGAACAGGGAGCCCGATGCAGGGCTTGATCCCAGGACCCTGGGATCATGATTTAAGGCGAAGGCAGACGTTTAACTGACTGAGGCACCCAGGCGCCCCCACCAGGTGAGATTCTAATAGGGCCACAGTGGGAAGAGGCAAATATTCCCAACGTTCCAATATTTACCTCTTTATCCATCCCCCTTTTATTCCCCTTGACCTTCCTACCAGCTTTGTTTCCTTTTCTGTAGTTGCCACCATCTCTCCAGTAAGTGGAGGCACTACATGAAAAGGAGCCAACATCGTGGGCTGCCCTCATGGATGCCGGCTGGCCTCAATGCCCCCCTTTCCCAAGTACTGTTCTCTGGGGCCTCCTTTCTAGAGAGGGAGGAAGGAACAAGATACAGTGCTGCAGTCAAAACCAAGCATTTTGTCTCCCCCTACTTCTGCCTCCTGACATATCAGCAGCTCTGTATAATGAAAATCTAAATCATTTGTGTGCACACATAGCAACTGTTTATTTTGCTGTTAGCTTTGAGGGCTCAGTGGGGGTTTGATGCATTCAGAGAAGAGATCAACCCTGGGAGAGCCTAATCTCATAAGTAGACAAAATGAAAATTGAAGCTGAAAAGACACATCTCTACATCTGAAAGAGAGGCCAGTAATAAGTATCTTAAGCTCAGGAAATGCTTTTAAACCAAGAACATGGAGCGGAGATGACTCCTTGAAAGGGTCCTGCTTCCTGTCTGCTAAGAAAGCTTTACTGGGCCCGGTAAGAGATTGATTGTGCGTTCTAGAAATAGCACACCTTTCCCCTCAAACCACCAAGTGGGATGCCTTCCATCTTTTACAAAATGCATTCACTAATTTTCTTGAAACTGCCCCCCCCCGCCCCGCCACCAACAGGCTGCCTTGGGACCGAGTACCACCCTGAAGTTTCTCCACATTACTACCTCTACCAAAAGTGAAAGCCAGACTGAAGAAAGTGTCTGTCACATTTGAAGGGGCCGGGCTCTCCCTCTCGGTGCACCTTGTTTGACAGTTTATGAAGCCTGTGCCTCTCAGCAGCTGCCCCACCCCCTCCTCTTCCTAGGGTTTCCCCTCATCCAGCAAAACCCCCATATTGCCACCGATTCTTGCAGAAACCGGAAACCTCTTACCCAGAGGTCAGAGCCTTTCCATCTTTGTTTCCTTTCCATCTTGGCAAGGCAGGGTATCAGTGCCTGGCAGTCACGAGTAGCTGCAAGGGAACGGAGGCAGCTACTCCCCTGGGACCAGGGATAATGAGGGACAACATCAGGGAGAGGACATCGTCTAAGACACACCTGAGTGACTTAACACTTGCAGTATACCAAGGGCCACCCCAGGTGTAGAAACTATAACCTTATAGACATGAAGGCATGTGAATTGGGCAGTTACTGCCAATCTGGCATTCTTTCCTGAAAGAATGTCCTGCTACATGAGCTCTTATGAAATACCCAGCGGATTGTGAGCTTGTCCAGGTGAATAGCCTCCATCCTGTCACCCCTCCAAGAAGATCTATGTGTTTCCAGGAGTCGTAAAGGACCCATGGTTCATCACTCCATCTGTGTACACAGGTGGGGAGCATGTCAGCCAGCCAGGCATGGGACAAACCACCGTCTCTAAGGTCCTCACTTGACTCATTTGACCCTCCACTTGAACCATGGGCTCTACTTCCTGTCTGTTCAACAGCAGCCAGAGGAGGCGGGCTTAGCTTTCAAGAGACTACTCCAGGCCATAGGGGGGAAAAAAAAAACAGGCTAGTCAGACATCTACGCAAAAACATGGCTTAACAGCAAAGAAACCAGACACAGGCAGAAAGGAATTTAAATTCAAATTGAACAAGGGGCTGGACCCCTCCTTTTAGTATAAGCCCCTGAAGGCCTGGTTTCCTCACAGGAAAAAAAAATCCCTTTTAAATCCTATCTCCTTTCCCTGGAAAAAGAGAGGAAACATTCCAACTAACTAGTACCTTATACAAGGTGACAGTCATTTAAAATGGTTCTTAAAATGGAATTAACTCCTTCCTGCTCAGTCCCCTCTTTAGGGTGTAACTACTTCCCAGTGTGTTCAGGTGTCTGGGCCATGTAGGGCAGCAAATTAAGGCTTCCTGGAGAGCAATGTGTAAGGGAATGACAGTGTCAAGGGCCAAGTACACTCGCTGAGCTGTTATTTTCCGTTTGCCCCTCACACCCCCCAAGGTTATTTCTCTGCCCTTCTCTGCCATGTTCTGTGCCAAAGCTGACCTCAGTGGACTGTAGGAACAGGCTTCCTTACCAGCTGGCATCTGGCTGGGTCTGGATAATGGTGGACACTGGCAGATCAGAGTGGCAAGAGAGTGAGATATGTAGATTTTCTGCCCCTGTCTCCCTCCCAGCTGTGTTGCATTTAAGCAGAGTCCACATTGTGCTACCTAAAGCCATAGCTCTTTAGGCAGCCCCCCCTCTTGCACCCGTATAGCTCTTGCCGGGTTCCAATAGCACACTTTCTTCCCCTTGCCCTTTCAGGCTTATAGGTGATAACAGCTCCCCATTGTTCATAGTGTCTGTCTCACCAGCACTGGCAGGTTCCTTTAATCCTACACATCCCACCATAAATGGTCCCCGCATTAAGCTCATCTCAGCTAAGTATACCTTACTGAATATGCCATCTGTTTCTTGCCAAGACCTTGGCTTAAAGATTCATACCACTCACACAAATTCCATCCCACAGAATTTCAGGAGGTTCCCTATCCTGAGAAGAGAGATCACCTGATCTGTCTTTTCTAAGGAGAGCAGTCTGCCTTTTCTCAAATGCTTGACGTATTCTCCATATCTTGGGGTTTCCTAAATTAAAGTGGCATTATTATTTCTACATAACAAAAACGAGGCTTGAGCTGGTTCCATTTTTGTTTTAACTGTTCTTAGTCATCTTTCTTACAATTGCAAACCCAAGTACACTTCTTCCCTTCCAATGAGGTGTGTTCAACTTGCCTTACCTTAAACACGTAATCCAGTTCCACGAGGAAGATAATTCTTGACATGAATTCAGTCATCAGTTCCTCACTATGTTATTCCTCTTGTACTCCCCATCTTGGTAATAAGAACCACCCATATCCCAAAGTGGTCATCCCCAAACTTTCACTCACCCTCATCTACACATATCCATTAGACTAAGTACTGTGGGACCTAACCTAATTCCTAAATAGCTTCTTTCAAATTCATCCATCTGCTCAAGCCCCACAGTTACTACCTTAGTCAGGACTGGATCTTTTTACACTTGGTTTACTGAAATATCTCTCATTTCTCCCCATTCTCTTTCATTCTCCTCACTGTTGTCAAACTGATTTTTGAAAAAACGCAAATATGTTCATGTCACTTCCCTTTCAGTGGTGATCCTTTAGGATAAAATCCAAACTCTTTATCCTGGTGTAGAAAGCCTCATGGAATCTGGGTAGTATCTCCCTTTTCAGCTTCATTTTTACCACCTCCCTTTTTACAACCCTATTCATTGCTTTCATGATGGTGCCATCTTCTTTCATGTCTTCATGCTCCTGCTCCTTTTTCTAGTACACTCTTGCCTTTGCTGACTAATTGCCCCTACTCAGTTCTCAGACTTATCTTAGGCATCATCTTTTCTATGAAGTTTTCTCATGCATCCCTTTACCCCAAGTTGGTTTAATAGCCTCTCTGCGTGATCCTTTAGGCCCCTCTTCTTCACTTACTAGCACTTAACACACTGGCAATTATTTATCTACATGTCTGTCAGTGCCCACCACTCTCTCCTTGAGGGTAAGTGTTTCTTCTTCCTTTTATCCACAGCAGTTAGCACAGAATGTGGCATATAGTGGGATACTCAAGGGATGGGTCCTGAATGAGTGACTAGATGAATGAATGAGCTCATGAAGTATATGCTTGAATTCACTTACCTACATAAGGTCAATATCAGGACCCTGACCCTTCGTGAAATGGCATGTAACTAATGAGGCCAGTTTTGGCCATTTCTCCCCTTCCAGGTAGGGCTCTACACAAACCACTCTGGAGTGATTAAGAATAGAAACAGATGAGCTGGCCTTTTGAGTCACAGGCTCTCCCTAATCCCTAAAGCGATAGTTATGGAACAATAGAGCTGGCCTGAATTAATTGGGGTGGGGGAGACAAATTCTGTCCCTGGGAGACACCAAGTTCTTCTACACCATCCACCAGACTTCAGCACAGATGGGATGGAGGCCAGCCCTAAAAATACAGCAGCCCTAGGTGACACCAAAGCTGTGTTCTTTCATGTCTAATTCTCCCCAGATGGAGGGGAAAGCATTTGATGAGCAGTCTTTGAAACAGGCAGAGAAACTTGTATCATGCTAGGAATGACTAGAGGGGCAAAAGACCACTGTGAATTTCCTAGTCAATAAAAATGAACTCTACTAGAAATTTTAATAAGGAGCCAGCAGAAACAACCTTGTCATCATCATTGTGAAGTCATGTTTATTGAATGTACAACAAATGCTAGTCTCTGCTCAGAACATTGGATGAACACCATTTCTGTATCTATAAGGGACTAGGGAATACTTGCCACTATTTTGATGCCAGTCACCCAGCCAAAACACAAAATGAACTCTTACAAATATTCTAAAGCATAATAAGGAAGGGGTCTTAGACTATATGCAGTCATCCTTGATTAGTATTTTCCCCATTGGGAGTCACCCTCCCCACAAGCTTCCGCACAACTGGAAAGGAAAAGAAGCAGGAGAAAATAGGAAGAGTCAAGGTATAGTCCTGAGAAAGTCACAAAATTTTGAGCAATGGGACTCCATAGATGTTTGGAGATGGCAATAAATACCAGGGGGAGGGCCATATGCATGGAGTGGTAGGAACCAGCCCTGTCCATCTCCTGGTCCTTCCTTGCACATGTGTTCTTAAACAACATTTAAGTGATAGACAGGAGCTGTAGATCTCTGAAGATCTGCTTGATTGTGAAGTTACGTTTCAGGTGAGGTCTTCTCCTTACTTTGCACAAAGGAACACTTTGGGACTTGAGGGCTAGTGGGTACTCACCAGCTGGGTGAATGTTTGAGAGAATCATTGCTCTTGATGAATTTTGTAAATAGCCACTGACCCAATGGCTTAAGGGAAAGTGAAAATGAATGACTGGTGATTTAAAAAGCATGCAAACATGAGGCTACACTACTAGCAGGCAGGTAGCAAGTGGCCTAGTCTTAGTGCCTCTTTTTAAGGCCCTCTTCCCTTCTCTTTCCCACCCTCTCCAATCTTCTGCCAAAACTCAAGGTTTGAGGCAGTGGTCAAGCTCCATGGTGTAAGAATTGGTGTTCCTCATGATGCTCTCCGCCAGCATGACAGGCTTGGGGTTTCTTCCAGCAAAGCAAGAGAGCCAGGTGCAGATCAACATGGCTGCAGCTGCTCCACCTCCAGCACAGTAATAGGCCCAGCCAAGCCGACAGGTACCTGTAGAAATAGGGACAGAGACATGAGGGTTGGTTTGCCTTCTCATACATTCTCCTTGGGGTGTTACACAACATGTAATGTGATACATTACAATCACATTAATGTAATGTGATTACATTAATCACAGTTAACGTAAATGCGCGAGTGCAACTGGGCTTCCTGTTTCCTCCTTTCCTCTTTTGCTGATGGCTGGTATTTGCTTTAGCAAGAAGTTACAGAATTTTATTCCATTACAGTAGGAACCTGGGGGTGGTGTGGGTGGTAGCGGTGGTGATGCTGCTAATGAAACTGATGACAAGAACAACTTGATCAAGTGTCAAGAACTATGCTAAACTCCTTACACATACATCCCATTGATCATTACAATAACTATGTGAGATATGCACTCCTATTATCCCTGTTTTATATAAGATGAGGTAACTGAGGCACAGGTTAAGTTAATTGTGAAAAATCTAGACAGCTAGACAGCAATAGAGTCAGGATATAAACCCTGGCTAATCTTGACTCTAAAGCTCTACCTTTTCCTCCACACAGATGTGCTGCCATGCATGGACTATTTCCAAAGAACTGTATTCTACGTCATCAGGAGATGTGACAGGCACAAAAACAAATAAAAATCCCTTGCCCCTTGCTACATGCCTTTATCTTAACCTACCCTTTCAGTATCCAGGGAAGAAATATGCACTGGAATCAAGGCCAAGCTTGTAAGGCGGCAGTTTCAATTTAAAGGGTAATAGGAAAGGTCACCTGCTCAAAAACATCCACTCCACCACCTGCCTTTCTATCAGAGGTAGATTCTGTCCTTTGAAGTATTTATGTTTTCTCAGAGAATTTTCCCTCAGAAAATGTCAATGCCCAAAGAAAGGAGAGCTATTAATTTATAAGGGAACAGAGTAGCAACTAATTGTTAAAATCAAGTGCCTAAGCAAACAAGACTCCAGAAATCGGAGTAGATGTCAGTGGTAGAAAATTGTAGAGAGGCCCCAAGGAAAGAGGTAGGCAGTGACCTTCACCTACCTCACAGTCTTGCAGAAAGCTAGTCTTGACTATAGTTGGTCAGTTGGAGATGTCAAGACTGATCTTGATAATTTACTTTTTAATAACCAATTGTCTTTGTTCACATGGTGCTCAGTGAACCTTAATTTTCCTTCTTTTAACTGACTATTTGTCATGTCATATAAAGAGTATAACATGGCCCCAATTTAGGCTGCTTTGCTCCTCCATTCAGGCCAACCTAATTTATCCCAAATTTCTCACCTCAGAAATAGTGTTCCTACCACCACCAAATTATTATTCATACTGTCTCTCCTGCCAGAAACAGCTTCTTCCCTCTTATTCACCAATTCATATCTTCCTCAGAACACTATCCAGGACTTCCAGGAAGCTTTTCCAGATTAATCCCAGTAGGCTCAAGTCATCTCAACCAAGTAGCCCTACAGGAGTTTGTCTATATATCGCTTACATGAGTGTACCTGTTGGACAAAATTTGGGGAGGAAAATTTGCATACGACATATTTTTATTTGCCCTTTACCCCCTTCCAGACTGTTGGCTCAACAGTGTAGATGTATTTGTTTTTTTCTTGATAATACCTCCCATGCTCTATCAACAGTGGGTGCTCGCTATGCATGTTTTAGCCTAACAATACTCCAAATATGGGTATACTTGCATTTTTAATCTTCAACATACAAATCTATGGCTTAAATTTTTTGTTAAAGTTATAAAACCAGCTGCAGTATTATTCTATTTGTTTCTGGAATGTGCTACAGTCCTTCCCACCATAAGGCCTATGCATATTCTGTTGCTTAAAATGCTTACTGCATATGCACATGTATACAAATATTTCCCACCACTCTCTTTGCCTAGTCAATATTCAGTCATTCTTCAAAGCTCAGCCCAATCATTAATTCCTTAGCGAAGGCTTCTCTGACTTCCGTAATTCAAATTCCTTCATCAAAGGCCCTTATTAGCACTGTGTATATTTCCTTCTATACTTGAATGAGTGAATCCCTTATCCCCTGCCATGACAAATGTCAAATTTTAGTTCTTCAGCAGAGATAGTACTTTACCAATAGATGGAGGCAGTCATATAACTACTTGAAATCCCATGGCCCCACCAAAAATTATACTGAGAGCCAGACTACAGTAGATATGGAAACAATGCAATCCTTAGATGGAGTGAATTTGAAAGAGAAAATAATTCAACTGTCTACAAAGTGGCCTCAACATGAAAAATAATGGCAGGACTCTGGAAAGAGTAAACTGAAGAATACCATATTGAGGCAAGCAGCCAATAAATTTGTATCCTCCCCCCAACTTGTCACACCTCCTTTTAGACATACACACATACTCACTAAAAGTAGGAGGTTTTATATAATGCTTTGGGTTTCACAAGGTGAAAACTCTAGAGATGGGCAAACCTTCAACTTCTGCCATCCTTAGGAGGAAGGTTGAAGGTTTTATTGTACTCAGTTCACAGACAGGAATGTGAGGCTTAGTTGATAGCCCTAGGAACCCTCTCAGAAGCAGAGAGGTAGAGGCAGGGATCTAGACCGTCTCTTTACTCTCAGTCTGGTACTCTGTCCTCTCTACTGGTTTCCTCATCCTCCCAAAAGTCATTTTTTTTTTCTCTTACAGGACCCTTGACCTATAAGCCCTAAAGAGGGGGCTCCTAAGTTAATTTGTAATAGATTCACCTGAGGTTCTCCCGTAGCCCCTCTAACCCAAATCTCCTGTGCTCACATGGTAGAGTAGACAAGAGCCAGCTCTGGGGTAGACCCACTGTCAGGCACCTTCCTCCTCTCTGGCATGCTCCTAATCTAGTCTAGACAAGGCATCAGAAGTCTTATTCTATTTCTTCAGTTGCTTGTCAGGTCACCCCCCCCCCCCCCGTTAGAGTAGCAGGGATATTTTTATTAGATACATGCACCCTGGGACTAGGGAAAGACTTGTTTCTGTAAATGAAAGGAATAAATGCATAGCATGGCATTACCGCAAAGCCCTAGGCAGGAAGAAAGCTGACAGACTGGGCAGCTCCAGAGTGAAGAGCTGGCTAAAAGGGCTTCAATAAACTTTATCGAAGTCATGTCAAAACCAGGTATCACAGGGTTAGGAGCCAGCACCAAAGTGCTCCCATGGCCACACCAAATGCAATCAGAGTTTCCTCTCACAGAGACTCCTATTAGGCCACTGAACAGCACCTAAGCTCCAGGCTGCTGCCATACGGGGAGCCAAGGAGAAATAGAGGAAACATATCTTCTATCCAACCCTTTCCCCACAATCCTACCTGTTATTTGCTTGAGGGAATAGAGAGGTTGCATCAGTAGCATTGCAAAAGGGGAGAAAAAAAGCAAACCTTTCAAGAGCTACATCTTCAAGTTGAGAGCTGCTGTCGGTATTCACCTACTCCACAGAAAGCTTAGACGCTGGTCTGATGGCCTACAGAGGAATTTGTGTTTTCTATGGAAGGGTGCAAAATAGGGAACAGTAACCACCCTTTACCTCCAATCACGTTTTAGTGAAGTCCCATAGACCATCACCAATCCCTAAATCTTACTCCCTAAAGCACTGTTGATTCTTCCATTCATCTAACAAATATTTATTAAGTACCTTCCATGTGCCACACATTTTGAATATACCATCTCATTTGATTCTCACAACAGCCATGATTATTTTCATAATAATCATATTTTCAGCTGAGAAAACAGAGTCTCAGAAAGAAAAATTACTCTGTCGACGTACAAGTGTCAGAGTTTAGATGTGAGTGCCAAGACTGAAAGTCCATGGTCACCTATTTCAACCGTGCCAGGAGAGTGGAGCCAAGGATACAAGTTACTATGGTCCAAGACTTATGGAAAAGTGTGCCTTCAACTAATCACTTCAGCTTTCTGGGTCTCAGTTTCCTTTTCTTTAAGTGAAGGGAATTTTGCTGGACAGATTTTTTTTTTAAGATTTTATTTATTTACTTGAGAGAGAGCAAGAAAGAGAGAGAGAGAGAGAGAGAGAACACAGAGGGAGAGGGAGAAGCAGGCTCCACACTGAGTGGGGAGCCCAATGCGGGGCTCGATCCCAGGACCCTGAGATCATGACCTGAGCCAAAGGCAGATGCTTAACTGACCTAGCCACCCAGGTGCCCCATTGCTGGACATATTTTTAAAAGCCCCTTCCAACTCAAAATTTCCATTCTACTATGAACATGATAAATGCTTTAAGAGACATATAATGGAAATACTACAGGAACATCTAGGAAAAGAATTATTTGTATCTGGGAGAATTCAGGATCAGGTAGTGTTTTACAGAGAAGATAGCGTTTCAACTTGACTTTAGCAGTGGGAAGTGGGCATTCTAGGCAGTCGGAGTGGTTGGTGTGAGCAAAGTTATGTAAGTGATAAATTTGACCACATGTTTCAGAAACAGTACTCCATTCAGAGTTGCTTCAGATAAGGCGTTATAGTTGGCAAATAATAAGCTGAATATAGACCAGGAGGACCCGTGAAATCGGGCATCTTTCCCACAAGCAATGGGGAACAATGGAAATTTTCTGACCAGAGGATGACATAATAGAAGAAGGTTTCTCAGCCTTGGCACTATAGATATTTTGGGCCAAAAAAAAAAAATCTTTGGTGTATGGGGGTGAGGTGAGGTGGAGTGGGAGGGTTGTCTTGTGTATTGTAGCACCCTGGCTCCTACCTACTAGATGTCTGCAACTTATCCACCCCCCACCCCGAGTTGTGGAAACTGAAAATATCAACAGACATTGTCAAGCATCCCTGGGAGTGGGGGTGGAGTGGATTGCTTCCCATTAAGAATGACTGAGTTAGAGGTATAGTTTGGGAAGATTAACTTAAAATCTCTATATAAAAGGGATTGGAGGCGGTTGTATACTGTAGTAAGAGACCAGTTAACCAGAGGGCAAGGATGCTGGTACACATCCAACAATACATAAAACAGCCTCCCACAACAACAAAAAAATGATCTGGCCAAAAATGTCAGTATTTTTGAG